CCTGCCCGTGCGCGACCGAGGATTTGGTACGGGCTGGCCGAGAGAATTCACACGGCCGTGTGGGAGGCCCTTTTGCTTGTACCATATTTCCTGGGGCTACACACGGGCAAGTTGAAATTCCACGCGGCCATGCAGATTTTTGGCCTGTCAGTGTAGAACCCCTAAGACCCCATTTTGACCAGTTGCCTCCCCACAAGCGCTTCTTTACTGTATTTTAGCTGGACGCCCATAGAGGAAATAAGTTTCATCGAGGTTGATCATCAGCTCTACGCGCTCCACATCACCTCCCAGATATAGCTTGAGGAGGTGGTCGTTCACCTTAAACTGCTCAGTTTGAGCATTGCTAATCTCCACTGCACCATGGGCAATCGTGAATGGTCCCGACCACCTTGAATGCAGCTTGCCCGGGAAGAGTTTCAGTCGTGCGTTATAGAGGAAAACACGATCACCAACCTGAAACTCCTTAGGGCCCTTCAACCGATCGTCGTGGAGACGCTTGGTTTGCTCCTTGTAGAGTCGGGTATTCTCATAGGCGTGGTAACGCCATTCCTCCAACTCCAGCAGCTGTAGCTTACGTTCAGTACCTGCAACACTCAAATCCAGGTTTAGCAGCTTAAGGGCCCATAAGCCTTGTGCTCTAGCTCAACCGGCAAATGACAAGCCTTTCCATAGACAAGCCGATATGGTGAAGTACCAATCGGGGTCTTGTAGGCTGCCCTATAGGCCTAGAGAGCATCATCGAGCTTGGTGGACCAATCCTTTCGAGATTGATCCACCGTCTTTTCAAGTAGTCGCTTAAGCTCCGGTTCGTCAGCTCGGCTTGACCATTCGTTTGGGGATGGTAAGCCATCGACACCTTATGTGAAACATCATAGCGAGAGATGAGTTCAGAGAATTGCCCTTGAAAATGGGTTCCTCGATCGCTAATAATGGCTCAAGGTGTCCCGAACCAGGTGAACAGCTGCTTCATGAATGAGCAGACACGTCTTGCATCATTCGTGGGCATGGCTTGAGCTTCTGTACACCTTGAGACGTAATCCACTGCTACCAGTATATGTAGATTACCAAAAGATGGAGGGAATGGGTCCATGAAATCGATGCCCCAAACATAAAAAATTTCACAAACGACAGATATATGTTGGGGTATCTCATCTTGAGAAGAAATGTCACCTAACCTCTGGCAGCGGTCGCACTATCGTGCGAAGGTATCTGCATCCTTGAAGAGTGAGGGCCAGAAAAAGCCCGACTGTAGCACCTTCCGCGCCGTGCGGTTTCCTCCATGGTGACCACCGGTAGGTCCCTCGTGACATTGAGACAGGATGTCTCCCATCTCGTGCTCCATGACGCATCGTCGGAGCATGCCATATGCTCCGATCCTGAAGAGGTAAGGATCCTCCCAAAAATAATGCTTAAGGTCGGAGATGAACATGGCTTGGCGGGAGTGGCCATCCCCTTAGGAAACTGTTTGCCCACCAGATAATTGGCAAAATTAGAGTACCAAGGGGAGACGCTCTCCTCCAAGAACAACGCCATTAATCGCTCATCCGGGAAGGAGTCATTGATCTCTTCCACAAAGTTGTCCGCTGGTAGAGCTTCCAACCGTGAAAGATGATATGCAGCAACATTCCCGACTCCCTTTTTGTCCTAGATCTCAATATCAAACTCCTGTAGCAGTAGGATCCAGCAGACGAGCCTGGGCTTTGCATAGGCCTTGCTCATCAGGTAGCGGATGGCAGAGTGATCTGTGGACCACCACATGAGGGAGCACCAAGTAAGGTCGAAACTTGTCAAATGCATACACCACACTGAGCAGATCCTTCTCAGTGGTGGTGTAGTTCTCCTATGCATCGTGCAGGGTCTTCGACGCGTAGTAGATGGGCTGGAAGTGTTCCTCGCGTTTCTAACCCAGAATAGCTCCGACTGCATAGTCACTCGCATCGCACATCAGCTCAAAGGAAAGAGACCAATCAGGAGTCACCATGATGGGTGCATGGGTAAGCTTCTCCTTCAAGGTGTCGAATGTAGCTGTGCACTCTGGAGTGAACTGAAATGGTGCATCCTTCTCCAGTAGTTTGGTCAAAGGCAGGGCAATTTTCGAAAAGTCCTTAAAGAAGCGCCGGTAGAAACCTGCATGACCTAGAAAACTGCGGATCCCCTTCACAGAAATGGGAGGAGGTAGCTTACTATTCGTCTCAATCTTCGCACGATCCACCTTGATCCCCTGCTTGGAGATCTTGTCCTCGAGCACAATCCCCTCACGAACCATAAAATGACACTTCTCCCAACTGAGTGCCATATTATTCTCCTCGCACCTCTTCAGGACAAATTCCAGGTTGTGGAGACAATGAGTGAAGGGGTCTCCATAAACCGAGAAGTCGTCCATGAAAACTTTCATAATCTCTCCAACCAGTCGATCGAAGATCGCCAGCATACACCGCTAGAAGGTCGCTGATGCATTACATAGCCCAAATGGAATCCTCCGGTAAGCGAAAGTACCGAAGGGGCAAGTGAATGTGGTCTTCGCCTGATCCTCTGGCGTTATGGGAATCTGGAAGTATCCGAACATGCCATCCAGGAAGCAGTAGAACTCATGGCTAGCCAACCTCTCCAGCATCTGATCAATGAAAGGTAGCGGGAAATGATCCTTTCTGGTGGCGTCGTTCACGCGCTGGTAGTCGATGCAAACTCGCCAGGCAGTCATGGTCCGCATCGGGATCAACTCATCTTCTCATTCGGGACCATAGTCATCCCGCCTTTCTTCGGGGCCACCTAGGTGGACTAACCCACTTGTTGTTCCGCCATTGGTGGGAGATTGAGGTCTAGCAACTCTTCTCAGATTCCGAAGGGTTCTCTTGATTTCCGTATCAAGAGGTAATGGGGTCATTTGGATGCAGGTTTTGGGTGTGGGATTTGGGCACAATCCTACATAGTGTGGGATTTTAATTAAAATCACTCGTTTGGAAAGCAATTATATGATAAGAGATTTTAAATATTAGAGATTTCAGAAACCCACAATTGTGGGATTATGAAATAGCTGATGGTGATCAGCTATTTTAAAATCTCACACAAATCCCACAAATTAAAAACCTGGGTTTTTGAATGAGTGATTTGAGCCAAAATCCCACAAATTAAAAACCTGGATCCAAATGACCCCAATATCTCCAAAGTATCCCTTCTTCGCATACAAAGGTGCTACAAAATACAACCTCAACAACCCGTGACGTACAAAGTTCGATAACAAAACACGAAACAAAACAAACACAAAGACAACAAAACACACACAAAAACACAAACAGGAACGCAAAATAAAACAAAGTAAATACTAAAATATCAAGCTAATTGTTTTCAACTAGTTACCAAGGTTCCCTGGCATGTGCCAAAAAGCTTGATCACATTCATCCGTGCAGGTTATTGTTAGTGGTTAGCACGTGTCAACAACTAACCCATCCTGCCAAGTTTAACCTAAGATGTCATTGTCGTATAATGGCAATGAAGGTCGTATTTTACACGGGACCTGGTACCGTAGCCTACTTCCCACCTCGTTGTTATTTAGTCAATCAATTTGGAAGTTTGAGTGGAGGATTTGAGCAAATTACTAGTTTAGAGTTTGAATAAATCTAAAAGCAGGTACTTCGAGGGAACTATCCCTCAGCCTAGCCTAGGGCTACTATGTAATGTCTAGATACTTAAGCTTTTATCAAATGTGGTGAGTGAGCCCGTTTCCATGTGCTTTCGTGGCTATCCACACACTTCCGAGTAAGCTCGTAGTTCCTTTCTATGGATATTATCCACCGTCCATACTGAGGTTTTATCCCGGGTTCTATCTAGAAAGGCTACCTATAGTAAGGGTTCGGTCGCCTCGACCACCATAGATCCAAATTCATACATCTATCTTAATTTGCTTGATGACGCATACTCGTCTTACCCTAGAACTCCATACCCAGCGTAGAAGCATAAAGTATGATAGTAGAGAAGATATGGGCAACTTACCCAAACACAATGAAGGATAGAATAACAATAGAATAAACTAGATAAACACATTCATTCATTCAAACCCTAGAATATACATACATACATAGTAAACCCTAAAACTAGGGTTTGGGGTTTAGAACTCCTAGTACCTTAGAGAACTACTCATAAAGAAGGCAAGAAGATACATAGAAGAAATTGAAGAAGACTTGAGGTTGATGAAGATGTCTCCTCTCTTCTAGCTCTTTCTCCTTCTTCTCCTCTTCTCCTTCAGCTTCTCTCTCTTCTCTCTCTCTAAAACCAGAAATTCTTTCTCAAAATCAGGTCTCCTAAAAGGGGGAGATGGATCTTCTATTTATAGGCAATCAAGGGACGGAGAAGTTCGCGGCCGACAGGGAAGAGATCGCGGGCGGGTTTTTCAATGGCGAGGCCGCAATCTTGCAAAGCAGTCGTATTGGCCTTCCGGATAGAGGAGATCGCGAGCTGACTTCATGGTCGCGATCCGCAAGTCGCATCCGCTTTCTTCCTCGTGGTCAAAATACACTATGGCCGTGAATCGACTAGGCAAACTTTCTGTTTCTCCTTGGCTCCTTCTTCGCGATGTTCGCTCCCTGAATCCTCCAAACCTCAATATGAAGGATAAATAACACAAATTTAGGTGTTATCAGGTGACATCCTTTAGCAATGATAAAGTGACGTTTGGCCCCCACTAGTGTAGGTTCTAGTGCAGGGTAAGCTCTAGTGACGAGAGACGCAATGAGTGATGGTAGAGATGCAGGGGTGACAGTGTCTTTTGTAGAGATGCAAGGGGAAAGGAAAATTGATTTTTCTATCAAGATAGGGAGAAATGGAAGTATTAATTGTTTTGATTAATGAAAAAAAAGAGGTAATACATGACATTTCCGTTTACACTTGGATGTTAACTAGTAAATTTGAAGCCATCAAAGAGAAAAAACATAAAATGGAATCCACTTAAACTGGAAACAACAAAAATATATATGTGAGGAAATTGGGCAAATTGGAAAAAAACAACTCAACCCGGAGATAATGGGATTGGCTGCCATAAAATATGCTAGAACGGTTTTCGTTCCTTTCCATAACAAGATATGGTTGTGGTGTTGGGGAGCCAGAGGAGGTGGTGTGTTGGTCTTCCATTACGCTCACCACCTCCAATTCTCATCCTTCCTTCCTCCACTATCCTCATCCTCCTCCTCCTCTTCCCTTGCTTATCAATCAAAATTTTCATTTTTTTTTGTTTACACTAGTTCGTGATTTGTTCCCTTTTCTAGGGTTGTTTGTAGTCCCATCAGGCAAACCACAACTGTTGGAGAGGGACCATACCCAGGAAGGAAACCAATCATGGTTTTCCTCCCATAAAGCAAAAAGAAAACAAAATATTATTTTTCCATATATAATCTTCTTCCTTTTGATTTTGATGGAGACCTCGTACACCTCATTACTTCAAAAACCCCTAAATTTCAATTTCCTTGCAAAATCATCGAAGAAGCTCATTACTTCAAAAACCCCTAAATTTCAATTTCCTTGCAAAATCATCGAAGAAGCTCACTGTCATCCTTTGTCCTTCTCCCTTCTTTTGGGCATCTCTTTCTTCCTCTTCTTTCACCTTAAGTTCGATCCCATGTAAGCTTTCCTTTTTCTTTACCCCCTTTCTTGTTTCGATTAAATGAAATTTGGTGATGTTTGATCATATGAGGAGGTTTCCTATTTGCTAGATGAGATAAAGCTGTGTATATTTTTTGAACTTTGTTTCTCCATTTGGGTTCTTATCATTTTAACAGCTACAACTACCAAACGTGTTTATCACCTGGAAATTCGGTCATTTAGGCTTGTGTTTGACAAATTAGCATGCTAGAAAGTGTGTTACTTTTCCAGCTTTGTGGTGATAGATAGATGGTAAGTTAGCTGATGATGGACCTTGATGAATAGATATGCAATTTGGGTTTATTTTTGGCGTATAGTTCCTTTTCCAATACCATAGTTGAGATATTTTTATAGACTCATGAAACTACACCCAAGTAGTCACATTCACTGGTATCCTCTCTGCTATAAATTTGTCTCGTACATATTCCCTTGATTATTTAACAAATTGTTCCATTGATAATTTTTTCAAATGTTTTGTGGAACAGTCTTCATCAGTAGTGTTATATAGGTGTTTAAGGCGGGATATAACCATGGTTGTCTACTGGATATGGAGTTTCTGGAGTCGAGTTAGAAGAAGAATATTTTATGGAAAAATTGTGAGGTATGTTCTGTATATTCCAATTCCACATGTGACTGATTTCTTTTGTTTGAGTTGATTTTGATGTTTTGTGTAAATGCAACTTAGTGAAACAATTCGAGTTTCTCAGTTAAAATATCTCCATCATCACTGAATACCATTGCTTCAGAGTTGCTAAAATCACAGCATATTGAGGCTTTTATAGAGTTGTATATTAGGGCGAGGAGAGCTTATTGATCGATGACTATATTGCATTAAGTTAGCTATTGGGCATTTAGAATTTGCATAGTCTGCTTTATACCATATACAGAACAACTAATTGATGATTGACTATTTGGTTGGGTTGTTGGACACAAATATTCAGCTAAGACATGATGTCTCTTGTTTTGTGTGATTTTGGTTTCCTGTTCGATCATTAATATCTCTGTACCTCATTTTCTGCTAGGCCGTTCAACTACTATATATTCTGCCCCTATGAATTAAAACCGCAGAGATAACCTGCTTGATTGATTGCATAATCTGCAGGACCATCTTTGAGAACATGACTGACTATGATGGATCCGATGCCAGCTCATGTCATGGTTCGGATTCGGGTTACGATGATTCCGGGTTACAATGTTCTTGTGGATTGCCAGCGAAGCTACGTATGTCTCAAACCGCCAGGAATCCGTTCCGGTTGTTCTATGACTGTCCAAGGAGATACGATGTATGCATTCACCACTCCCTTTGTTGAAACTTTTAGTCTGGAGTAGAGCATGCATCTACCATATATATACGTTAATGATTATTGGGTTTTTTTCTCCTTTTTGTCATGTGATATGATTGGTGCTTGGCAGCAATGTGGCTTCTTCCGGTGGTGTGATGAGCCATCTTTAACCGGCGATAGACATGCTGATGAGCTAAACCTGATCCGTCATGAGTGCTCTAGACTTCAACGAAGGTACCTGAAAGCCCAACAGGACCACGAGAATGACAGAGAGAAGTGGGAAATGGAGAAAGAAGAGCTGATGTCCACACTGTATAAAGTTCAAGCCGAGCTTGATGAATACATACAGAGGGTTAAACTTGCTGCTGAGTCTGATCTCATGCCACCAGTTGAACCGATGTGGAGCAGTGGCAAGCATGAAACTGACGATGGTGAGGGTGCAATCGAGATTCACGCTATATAGACGATAAGTCTTGCAAGCTTGTAACTTTAATTTGGACGGGAAATAAGTCTCTGGGTTGGGGGGGTTGGCTGGCAATGGCAGGCATATTTTTCAGAGATGTCAAGTCCGCTTGGAAATGGGCTTCTCTTTTGGTTGCTCTACTCATCTCTTGTGAGTTATGGAACAATTAAGAGTGAGTCTCAATGAGCCGGGAAAGAAGAAAATTGTACCTAACTAGACGAACTAGTACTTGCAGCTTGTATATGCGCTACTTTTTCTCAAGTTTGGTTATAACAGGATTCCAAATATCTCTCAGTTTCTTCCTGATTGCGATCGAGCAAGTTGATTCTCACCATACCAACGTGAATCTTTTTCCACAGCACTCGCCACATTTCTTTTCTCATTACCAACTCATCTTATCACAGACCCTCTCCTGGACCATTTCCTGCCGTTGTCTCCTCCACCACTACTAATTTTACTTATGGCGTTCTTGAAATAACTAGCTTATTAACCGGTCCCTTGCTCGGACCTATTCCCGGAAATACGTACTTCGACTCTAAATGATATTACCCATTAGCATGTTTGTAATGATGGCCGGGGTAGGTTAATAACACAATAATAGAACATGAACACTGTAATGGACATTCCACCAAGCAATTAGCCCTATATATGGCCATTACTGTCAAGCACCCTGATGCCCCTAGAACGAACATGAAAAAACCAAATGAATGCTTACATGGCTCCAATTCGCAATGGTGAAAATTGAAGCCACCAAGAGATTTCATAAAAAACACCCAATATGGATTGCCCTTGGACCAAAACTCAAAGTGACACCAAAGACGATGAATCCCTGGTCGAGAAAACCAAAACCAACAATGTCCAAATCAAGTCTATGGAATGCGCCAGCCAATTTTTTTTTATAAATAGTTTTGTTAATTAAAATGATAGAAAAAGAAAATAAATACAAAGAATGCAATCTGCTGTAGAAATCTCAACTACAAACAAAAGAAAGAGGCAAGCAATATATGCTTGGAAACCCCAGCAGATAACAACTTTTCTCAATACCCCTACCACTATGAAATCCTACAAAATAACTCCTAATTACTCTGCTACATTAAACAGACAAATGACTGACAACCCTGTTACTTTCTATCTATTCAATCTGTATAAGTCATTCGTCATGTAACCTCTACATTATCACGATTCTTATCCTTCTCGACAACATCGCGATTAAGCCGTCCGGCCTTAGAGTTGAGTGAGGGAGGAACTCAACTACCGATTGTCTAAACCGAGAGGGTCGAGTGACACGACTTTTCATGCTTACCTCGGTCTAGCTATTGAGATTGTGGTCTCCGACCATATATGCATCCCTCTGCGGTTCACGATTACTGTGCCCAAAGCAATCGTTCCAATGCACGTAGCATGGTAGCAGTTAGGGGGAAGCAACACCCGATTGATGCTTCCACAAAAGAGTTTCCAAAACCATTTAACTTTGCCTTCTTTTATTTCTACTAGCAAATCTTTTAACCAAAACTTTGTTGCTAGATAATGATTTCAACAACCGAAGTAGTGTTTGACGGACCGGCCCGGGTCGATATATAAATACTTGCCCTCTACTGCACCCGACTAGAGTTTAAAAACTTGTGCTCTAGTTGGGGTTTTATTGTGGTGTAGTTTTGTGCGATTCAAGTGTTTGGCGCCGTTTCCGGGGACAACGGTCTGTTATCTTGAAAAAGTTGTTGGTTGTTAATCTAGCTTTTAATTTTCAGTTTTGCAAATGTGTGTTCTTTGCTTGTGCTAGACTTGGTGTTTTCCGATTTTGTGTAGGTGGTGCATGACTCGGAGCAACCCGGTACCTTTGCTACCACTTGACGAGGACATAATTCGGACTCTCCGACTCCTAGAACAGGAGAGAGAGTTAGCGGAGGCAAGGATAAGGAGTGAAGGAAGGGGACAACAATTGGGTCCCGGTGTTAGTGGAGAAGAAGTTGAAGAAGCAGAAGTTGAACCCGTCGTTGTAGTGGAAATGGCGGGGAACCAAAGGCAAGATGCCTCTCAAGCCCACCATTTAAATGATGCGGCGGGGAAAAAGGAAGCCCCCGAGGATGATGGGGGTACTCTATGGCCCCAAGGTCGGCGGACATTCAATCGCCGATCCTACATCCTCCGGTGGCGGCAAATAACTTCGAAATCAAGCCAGCTCTTGTGAATATGATACAAAGCAATGCTCTATTCCACGGCCTTGAGAGCGAGTCACCAAGAGAGCACGTGCAGAGATTCTTGGAGCTCGCAGGGAGCTTTAAAACCAACGGTGTGTCGGCCGAAGCTTTGCAACTAAGACTTTTCCCATATTCACTCTCGAGGAAAGCTCTTAGGTGGCTAAACAACCGCCCACCTCGGTCAATCACCTCATGGGACGACCTCCTTAACAAGTTTATGGCTCGTTATTGCCCGCCTTCGAAGATGGCAGAGTGGAGAAAGATGATTACACATTTTGAGTAAGAAGAGGACGAAACCTTGATGGATGCTTGGGAGAGGTACTCCGATTACTTTCTTCCGTGCCCTACCATGGGTTTGAAGAAAAGTTTCATATTGAAACCTTCTACGGAGGCCTAATGCAAGAATATAAGATCCTCATTGACTCTTTGTGTCAAGGGAAGTTGATGAATATGGCTTCGCCCCAAATAACCGGGATACTTGAATATATGGCCCTTAGGGGATATGATTGGGGGTTGACTAGAAATGGAAGAAGGAGCAATGATAGGGGAGTGAGAAGCGTGGGAGCGAGTGCTCCGTTTGAGGCGAAGTTGGATAAGTTGCTTGAGGTTATGCTTGAAGATAAAAGGCAAGGAAAACGGGCGGTAATGTCGTGCGACTGGTGTTCGAGCACTAGCCACGAGATGGAGGAGTGCCAAGCAATGAAGGAGGCAACCACTTCGGAGGAACAAGTCAACTTCGTGGCAAATGCTAAGGTCAACAACCCGTATAACAATACTTATAACCCCGGATCGAGGAACCACCCCAACTTTGTTTGGTCATCACCGACTAATTTGAAGTCCCCGGGTTTCCAAGGCCCCATGGGGAACTTCCAACATCGGCCCACCTTCATCCAACAAAGACCCCAACTCCAAGGCTCAAACTTCCAACAACCGTACCAATCACAAGGTGCCTAGGGTTTCAAAAACAACATCAACCCGACAAGTTATCCAAGCTTGAAGACCTAGTGAACACCTTTGTGAGTACGAGTAGTCAAAAGTTCGAGAAGATAGAGAAATTCATGGATGTGGTGACTACCAAGTTTACCTCGGTTGATGCTGGTCTTCAAAGCCATCAAGCGAGCCTCCAAAGTTTGGAGGTGCAAATCGGAAACCTTGCCGGCATCCTCATCGAGAAACCCAAGGGAGCTTTACCTTCCCAAACCGTGGTTAACCCCAAGGACCATGCCGGGGTGAATGCTCTTCAAGTGAGAAGTGTGAAGGTGGTTTCGGAAGTCGCCATGGAAGAAGTGATAGAGAAGGAAGATTCCAACTAGGAAGAGACCAACCCGAAGAAGGGAGAGAAGAAGCCCTCGAGGAATGAGAGGAAGGTGGCAAGGAAGGCATTGCCGGAGGATGGATACATGCCACCTCTTCCTTATCTCACAAGGATGTACAAGGAGAGGTTGGAGAATGAGTTTGGAGGTTTCATGGAAATGCTCTGCAACCTCCACCTCAAAATCCCCTTCCTTGAAGCCATGGCCCAAATGCCAATATATGCCAAGTACCTCAAAGGATTCCTCACCAAGAAGCCCAAGCTGGAAGGCCTCGCCAACGTGACTCTTGGCGAGGATTGTCCGGCTTACCTCCTCGACCGCTTGCCCTAAAAGCGGTCTGACCCAGGTAGCTTCACTATCCCTCTTGATATTGGCAACCATCATATAGACAATGCTTTGGTGGACCTAGGAGCTAGTGTTAATGTGCTGTCCTACAAGCTCATCAAGAAGTTAGAAGTAGGTGAACTTAAGACCTCTAGGCTTAGCATCACATTAGCCGACTGTTCGGTCATTAGCTCGAGAGGTATAGTGGAGGGCATGATGGTGAGAGTGGGCAAGTTTTTCTATCCAACCGATTTCCTGATTCTCTACATAAGTGAGGACTCGAATATGCCCCTCATCCTCGGTCGTCCCTTTCTTGCAACCGCCAAGGCATTGATAGACGTTAATGAGTGAACCCTAATTTTGAGGGATGGTAAGGAGAGAATCAAGCTTGAAATTGATCCTAGGGTTAGGAGTGATGAATTGAAGGGAGTAGTTTCAAATGATGTGAATGAGAGTGGAGGAGAGCCTCTCAAGGCAAACTCCACCGTTACTTGTGTTGACTTTGATGATGTTGAGCAGGAAGTTAATGTTGGAAATAATATTTATTTCCTTTACCCTGGATGGCATGTTTGTAAATAAATGGAGAATCTTTTAGTGTTTATTTGGTATGGTGGCAACGGTTTTGGGAGAAGGAATTGTTTTTGTATGGAGAAATGAGCAGAGACAATTGGGGAAGTAGCTCTATTATTTATTGACTTTCTTGCTTCTCTGATACCTTACACGGCTATAACATAGCCTATTTATAGGCTTGAACTTACAAAAAAAAAAACCACACTCCACACATAGATTTGTGGTTCCTAATTTTTTCAATTCTTTAATCACAATAATTCAGCCAACCCAACTACATTATTAATTCCTTTTCTAGATGCTTTCCTACACATCTTGCTTCAGCAGCTTCGTGAAAATATCAGCAATCTGGTCTTCAGTCTTCACATACTTTAGCATTACTTCTTTCTGCTCCACACATTTTCTCAGAAAATGATATCTTGTATCAATATGCTTACTGCAATCATGAAACACCGGATTCTTTGCTAGTGCTAGGGCAAACTTGTTATCAACATAAATCTCAGTTGATTCTTCATGTGCTATGTTCAACTCCTTCAGCAATTTTCTCAGCCATATCGCATGACACGCACATGATGTCGCATCAACATACTCAGTTTCACAAATAGATAATGTCACGATAGCTTGCTTCTTTGAACTCCATGTGAAAGCTGTATCTCCCATTAAAAATACAAATCCTGTAGTGCTTTTGCGATCATCCATGTCTCATGCCCAATCACTATCGCAGTATCCAACCAGTTTGAAATTTTCTGACTTAGTATAGAACAAACCATGATCAATTGTACCTTTTATATAGCGCAGTATCCTCTTGGCAATATTCCAGTGTGACACTGTCGGTGCCTCCATGTATCTGCTGACTAATCCAACTGCGTAGAGAATATATGGTCTGGTACAAGTCAGGTATCTCACACTTCCCACCAGG